CATTTTGCTCAAATTATGCCCTGACACCTATGCAACCCAATTATTCAATTGTGGGAATATATAAGTGTATCTGATGCATCATTTGAATACAATGAGTTTGTACAGGTGGCCCAGTTACCAGAAATTAGATGCCAACTATTTTGTGGATGTGCAAGCCAGCCATAATTCAGTTCACTCTCTTAGAGATGGATTGGTTCTACACAGGAATGAAAATCCATAAAAGCTTACTGTTGTCCCTGAAATGAATTTCAAAAGATTTGGAGGTTCAAAGGGCTAAATTTAAAAGGGAAACCCAGTCTGAGCATTACCACACCTAACATTTACCAGCCATGCTGTCAAATGCCCTTAGGTTGGCATCCACACTCTCTATGCACGGTGAGAGTCAGGTGCCTAAAAAGGGGATTCTCAAAAAATAAGATACTGAATCACCTGAGGGCAGATCTACACGACAAGGCAAAGTCAAGCTAATTGACACAACCCCAGTTATATGAATATCACAGCTGGATTCAATGTATCCTAGGTCGAGTTACTGTGGGGTCTTCAGTGGGGGAGGGTTATGGGAGAAACTCCTGTCAACTTCCTTGACACTTCTTGTTCAGGTGGAGTACTGGTGGAGTACCGGAGTTGACAAGAAAGCGATTGGCAGTCAATTTAGTGAGTCTTCACTAGAGCCACTAAATTGACCCCCACAGGCTCAACTGCGACGGCACTGATCTCCTGGTAAGTGTAGACAAGCTCTAAGTTAGCCTGTCAGAGTTGTCAAGGAGTGGGGTTGTGGCCTCAACCTGGTGCCTCATATGGTATAGTCTCCTAAACTCAGGTCAGAGAGCTGTAGGTGCCTCCCTCTACTGGGGATACTCAGCTGTGAATCTGTTGGAGTTATGTGCCTATGCCAGACTGGCCTTTTTTCAAGAAAAACAGGAGCAAGTGCCCTTTTACTCAGTAGCCCGGTGGGTAGAAGCACTATCCAGGTCGGGATGCATGAGACGCCAGTTAAAATCCCCAATCCCACTCTGCCTGATGTGAAGCAGGGGCTTGAACTTAGATCTTCTACCTCACAGGTGAATGATAAGGTGAGCTGCTGAGTTGGGTCAAGACAAAGGTCATGCATATGTAGGCACGTAGCAAAGTGTGCCAGTGGAAATGTAGTCACAGAGAATTCAGCCACCTACAGCATGAGGAGCAAGCAGAGGTTTTTGTGAACATCAGTGAGGCCTAAATGTTGGTCCTAAATCCCTTTTGTGACTCCAGTCCTAATTAGGGATGTTAAATGTAGATTAATTAACAAATTGAATAGTTGATGGGATTTCCATCGACTATTTGATTAGTCTATAAGGGCGCCTCTGCCTTTGAACTGGAGCAAGAGCCCTGCTGAGCTCTTGCTACATACAGTTCAAAAGTGGAAACCTCGCAGGGGAAGCAGGACCAGCAGTGGACTGGCCCCATGCTCCCTGAGGGGCCTGAGCCTTTGAAATGGTGCCCACCGGGACATTTATATGCGCCCGCCGAAACATCTGGGCTGGCCCCGCCCCCGGCACGCGCGCAGTGCCAACCACAGGCGCAGGGCGCGTGGGCAGCCCCCGTCCCAGGCACATGGCACATGCGCGGTGCCAGCTCCAGGTGCGTGGACGGCCCCTGCCCTGGGCGCGTGGCACATGCGCAGTGCCAGCCCCAGGAGCATGGCACGTGGGTGGCCCCACCCCCGGGCATGTGGCACATGCGTGGCCCCACCCCCGGAAGCGCAGCACGTGAGCGGCCCTGCCCCCGGATGCCTAGCACATGGGGACCATTGGGCTAATCAATTAACCAGTAAGCATTAGCCTTACCAGCATGCTTACTCGGTAACTGGTTATCCAGTTGGAGGGCAGCAGGACCCTAACCAGCCGGAGCAGTCCTGCAGCACGGTGGGACCCCAGCTGGCTAGAGCAGCCGTCACCCAAAGCACGGTGGGACCCTGGCCAACCAGAGTACCCACCTGCTTGGCCCAAAGAGCTCTGCCTCCCCATGCACAGCAACTCTCTGGACCCCAGTTAAACAAGTAAAATTATATCATTTAACAATTTAACGTTTTAAGGGGTATTTACATCCCTAGTTGGTATATCAAATGTATTTGTTGCTCCTCACAGATATGAAATACTATAGACAGGGGATTCCTTTCAGTGGCAAAGAAACAGAAAAAAAACTCTATTAAAGGATGAAAAGTATGGAAACGGATACATGAGACAATTCTTCAGATACCATCCTGGCTAGAATGAAACCATAAAAAGTAGTAATCTGCTTGAATCAGTTGTGTGACTGTCTAGAACAAAAGGGAAAAAACCTCAATAATTCAGGAAAGCACAGTCCCTAATAAAAGGCAGTTCCGTATTGTGGTACCCAGAGTTTGGGTTCTAGTCCCAACTATAACCTAAAACAATTTTTCAGATGAGCCCTTTTACTCCAAGAACTTCAGTTTGTGTGTGTCCTAATCAGTATGGCCAACTCCAAACTAGGGGGCTGTGTCTACACTGGCCACTTTTTCTGGAAAATCAGCCGCTTTTCCGGAATAACTTGCCAACTGTCTACACTGGCCCCTTGAATTTCCGGAAAAGCACTGACGATCTATTGTAAAATCATCAGTGCTTTTCCGGAAAAACTATGCTGCTCCCGTTCGGGCGAAAGTCCTTTTCCGGAAAACTGTTCCAGAAAAGGGCCAGTGTAGACAGCACAGATTTCTTTTCCGCAAAAAAGCCCCGATCGCGAAAATGACGATCGGGGCTTTTTTGCGGAAAAGCGCGTCTACATTGGCACGGACACTTTTCCGGAAAAAGTGCTTTTCCGGAAAAGCATCCTGCCAATATAGACATGCTTTTTCCAGAAATACTTATAACGGAAAACTGTTCCGTTTTAAGCATTTCCAGAAAATCATGCCAGTGTAGACGTAGCTGGGGTGTTAAAATACATTTATTTATATAAACGTGTAACTGTTGAATTTTTAAGTGATTACATGTTTACACATGGTGGGAGAGGCAGATCGGAGCTTGCCTGCCTACACCCCTCATGCTGTTACCTCTGATACAAAGGCAGCAGTGTGGAGGGACAGATGGCTCCACAGGAACCAGTGCACACAGGGAGCCAGTTTTTAAGCCCCCTGAACACCGGCTCCCACTTGTCTGCATTCTCTCCTGCTAGGGTTGTCCTGTATTCTACCAGCCAGTCTGGTTTTTGGGCTCTCTGTCCGGTAAAAAAAATCCAGAAAATACTGGACATGTGCAATGTCCGGTATTTCCTGGATTTCTGGCTAGGCACCAGACGGAAGCCTGGCGGGGGCTAGGGGAGTGGCTGGGAGGCGGGGCGCGATCGGCGCTGGGAGCTCTGGCTGTGTGAGAGGAGATGGGGAAGCCCAGTCCCTGCTCCTAAGCGCTGGTGAAGCCGCAGCCGGACTCGCTTCACCAGGACCGTGCGCGGGATGGGCAGCGCCCTGGAATCTGCACACGCCCGGGTCGGTCCCGCTCCCTG